ACTCCGCAGGAATCAAGCTGTGCGAAGCTTAGCTCCAGCCTACAGACACCGTGGTGGATACCACACCTCATCGCAGAACCGGCTGGAGTAGCTGCGAGCCCAGGCAGCCAAGGCCGCAGACTCATAGCGGCAGTGGCCAGCAGTGCAATAAGCCCCACCCTCATAGAAGAATCAGGAGCCATTGAACAGGGGTGAGTGAGAATGGACGGCGGGCCTCCGTTTCAATGTGGAGAAGGCCGAGTTGAAAGGCCCCTTTTTCCCCTGGACTTGGGCCCAGAAAACAGGCTTACTGGGTGAACTGGGGCAGGCTCCTCAGTGAATTAACCGAATATAGATAAAATTAAAAAGGAAAAGGAAAAGAAGAGGAATTAAACATGGCAGTAAGGCCCAGACTATCCCTGAAAGAAGGACCCATTCTGGGGTGATTTCAACCTTCCAGTCAGCAGCCAGAGGATCAGCAAAAAAATTAAAGGCCAAAGCTGTTGTCTCTAGGAAGCCATCCAGAGCGGAAGAAAGGAGGCATAGGGCTGGAAAAGCTCATCTCCAGGAGCCAGAAGGAAAAGAAGAGACAGAAACCAGTTTCTTCCATTTTAGAAGTTCAGGAAATTTCCCTCCAAAATGTCTCCCCTCAGTCTCCAATTTCTCAAGGAGAGAGGCCTAGTTGCCAGAATCTGTCTCCAGATGGTGCAAGGGAGCAGGTCCTTCTATCTACTGAGGAAGGGAGCAAATCTGCCTCTGGGACCATAGCAATAGCAATAGCAATGGCAATTGGTGGTATTTGGCAACAATCTATCCCTAGAAAGAGGCCATTTGCTGAGGCCTCCTATACTCCTACTGCTGCAGGCCTTCACACAGAGTGGGAAGACATTTCCCCTGCCATCAGACAGCTTATGTCCCAAACCATCAGGCAGGAATTTGCAGAAATCCTTCCATCTACTCTGGACGAAGATGGAAGATTATCAGAAGTCAGTTTTGACCTACAAGGCCTACAGGAACAACATGCAAGGGGACGATTGGAGCACAGTGGGTCCTCAGTTTCAGAAGAAGGTGAAGTACGAAATCAGGACCTTTCTGAGGATGAGGGCCTTAAACCAGAATTACTTGCCTTCAGTAATTCAGAAGCCCTTTCTGCCCCACGTTATTCAAATCCCTGTTACCTAAGGCCAATAATGCTGCCTGCATGGAGTCTTCTTCCAGCACAGAGACGGTTCAGTAGATTTCTGCTCCATGTGTCACTCGTTTTGTAGAACCAACTATGCAGATGGACATCATCCCATCACCAAAGTTATTTCTGTACGTCATATGTAAATAGTGCTCTGCTCCAATATCAGGTCCCTCCCTTAGTAACAACTACTGAAAATTTTACAGTGTAAGCACTGATATGGATTTGGCACTTCAACTGCCTATTGTAGATGCACCTGTGGTTGTGCTGGCTCCTCCTGCACCTTACCAGTTGAGCCAGAGGAGGTGCTTAAGACTGAAAACAAAAAGACCAAACAGATTCTTCAGTGTTCATATTAGGCAGCTGCTTGGACGGTGAGAGCGTCCACAGCAGCTTCATTCTTCACCAGGAGAGGATTCTGCCCGGAGATGTCCGTGTCCATCAGGACATAAACACGTTGGTGGCAGCTGCTGAGTTTTCAGCAGATGCCACTCTGAATGTAGCTCGCTTTGCTTCAAAGGAGGTGGCATCCTCTGGAGCGGCCTGGTGCATGCTATGGCTTCGACATTCTGGATCTCAAACGTCTCAACATCTTTGTGGCATACAGAAAGTTCAAAATGCAGTCACTGTGTTCCATCCTTCAAAGTGTTCGGGAGGGCAACTTCCTCACCTCTATTGATTTAACGAAAGCCTACCTTCACATCCCCATTTATGCCCCTCACTGTTGGTTCCTCTATTTTATTACAAAGGTCGGCATTATCAATACAAAGCCCTTTCTTTCAGTCTCTCATCAGCTCCAAGGGTCTTCAAGATTTTGGCAGTCCTGGCAGCCTTCGATCTCTCCCGGTGAGAGTGCAATGTTATTTGAATGAAATATTAGTTTAGTCATCATTGGAACCCCAGGCCAGGGAGGATCTGCAACTCACCATTCAGGTCCTGCAGGCCCATGGCTTCTCCATAAACATTAAAAAAAAGCCAGTTTGTCCCATCCAACCGGCTGTTGCATCTGGGGGCAGTAATAGATACCCTTTCTTGCAGGGTTTTCCTTTCTCGGGACTGCCTGATGAACCTACAGGCAATGGCAAAACAGATAAGGATGGAGAGAATGGTGACCTCTTGTCAAGGCTCCTGGGGAAGATGGTGTCGTGCCTCAACATAGTTCCCTGGGCTCGGACCTATTCCAGGACTGTAGTGGTTCCTCCTGCCATATCAGAAGGCAGGCAGGAGCCATTACTTAGTCAGGATCACTGTCCCCCCCTCCCCCCAGGTGATCAGGTCTCTGATTTGGTGGTTATCCCCGGGAATCAGCAGGGGGTGTTTGTTCTCCTGACCATAACAACAGATGCCAGCTTATTCAGTTGGGGTGCTCACCTCTTTTTGGAAATGGCTCAAGGTCAGAGGACGGAACATCAACTGGCTAGAGTTGAGAGTTGTGTTCCTGACACTCAGACAATTCCAGAACAGTGTGGAAGGGGCTCATATCCTTATCCTCACGGACAACATTGCAGCGAAAGCCCACATCAATCGACGGGGCACTCAAGATCTCTCATGAGAGAGACTGAGAGATTAGGCCTCTGGGCAGAATGACATCTGCTGTCCATAAAGGCATATCACATCTTGGGAGTGTACAATGTTCAAGCTGATTGGTTGAGCAGGACAAAGATGGACCACTCAGAGTAGTGGCTCCATCCATCTCTAGTTCAGGAGATGGATGACCAGTTTGGCCTGCCGGTCGCAGACTTATTCGCCACTCCGGAAAATGCTCAACTGTCAAAGTTCTTCTTCCCTGCCCTAAGGGAAGTAGGAATCAACGCTCTCGGGTAACAGTGGCCTCTGGGCCTGTTGTATACCTTTCCACCCCTGCCACTTATCCCCAAGGTGTTAGAGAAATTGTTGGAGGAACGGGCTCAGGTGTTGTTTGTAGCTCCACATTGACCGAGGAGGTCCTGGTTTGCAGATCTCGTGGGGTTGTTGGTGGCCCGGCCCTGGAGGATTCATCCAGCAGGATCTCCCTCTCCCAGGGGGTTCTGGTCCACCAGACCCCCAGTGGCTACAGTTGACCATATGGAGATTGAGCGGAGATCCTTGAGGCAAGTCTATATCTCCTCCAGGGTCATCCAAACTATTCAGGCCTCAGACGACCTTCCACAAACCGCATCTACGATGCCACCTGGAAGGCTTTTTCTGACTGGTCATCTGGGTTGGGGATTGACCCTTTGTTGGCTACCATAGTCCAAGTCCTGGAGTTCTTCCAGGACGGACTAGACAAAAGTTTGGCAGTAAACACCATCCGTCGTCAGGTGCCAACTCTTTCTTCGGTTCTGTTGTGTGGTAAGGTAGATTCCCTGACATAGAAACCCATGGTGCGCAGATTTATCATAGGAGCTATTAATCTGGGTCCAGCTGTAGTTTATAGGTATCCCACCTGAGACCTGGCTAAAGCTTTGTTATCCTTGGCAGAGGCACCTTTCGAACCTCTCAGGTCTGCCAGTTTGAGTTTCCTTTCTTTCAAAATTTCCTTCCTAGTGGCTGTCCCCTTGGCAAGATGTATTTCAGAACTGTCTGCTCTGTCAGTCCAAAAGGACCTAGTATTTTTCACCCGAACAAGGTGGTCCTTCGACTGGATCCTACATTTCTACCTAAAATAAACTGGTTCCACAAGGCACAGGAGGTTTTGTTGCCGGGCTTTTGTCCTAATCCGAAACATAGGTTGGAAAGGACATGGCATACTCTGGATGTGAAAAGAGTGCTCCGAATATATATTAAGTGGACTGCTTCCTTCAGGAAGTCATAGTCACTCTTTGTCTCATTCCAGCCAGCAACTCGGGGGAACAAGATCTCTCCAGCTACTGTGGGTAGATGGATCAGGTCCTGTATAGCCAGAGCCTATGAATCTAAGGCTCTTTCCTAGCATACTCTACCAGGAGTGCTGCCACGATGACGGCCTGGGCCACACAGACCTTGCCAGAAGAGGTCTGCAGAGCGGCCATTTGATCTCCCTCCTTTTATAAAGCATTATAGATTGGACTCTCTTACTTAAACTGACACTGCTTTCGGCAGACGTGTGTTACAGCAAGTACTTTCGGAGCAGGGATCACAGGACCGGATGGCTGCCCTCCCATAGGACTCTACTTTTTGGTATGTTCTTTGCCTGGACTCTTACAGCAGCACTATGGAGAAGAGGCATTGGTCCTACCTGAACACATCTTCTCGGAGTGCTGGAGAGTCCAGTTCCACCCTGTGGACCATCCAGTCTTGCAAAGGGGGAAAATTGTTGATTTTTTTTCTCTTGCCTTGTCCTTGGTTGTTTTCTTGTTTTTCCAAGGTAAACAGACACGTAGAGTCTGTTTCATTGACTTAGCCGAAGCTGGATTTCCTAGCAGTGGAGGCAGGTCTTAACAGCTTTGACAGACTCAGTCCTTCAAGCTTGGAGAAGGAGTTAACCCTTGCTTGGACTCTCTCGCAGCAATCAGAGAAGACGCGTTCAGGTAGGACCAACGCCTCTTCCTTACCATGTACAGAACTGAAACATTGTGTCTGAACATTAGACTATGCTGTATTATTAGGAATTCTTGCTTAGCTATAATAAACTTAGCAATATGCCAGTATTTCCAATAACTTCCGTTTCCCTCCTCCTTTAAGTTAGTCAATTGAAGCAATTCCATCCATGGCTTATTTAGTATTATGTATGAACTAAGAAATCTCTCGTTTCTCTTTTAAAAAGCCAAAGATAAGAATCTGCCAAATGAAATATTTTCTGACTTACGGCCTTTGACCACTGAAAAACAGTTGACCCAGTATTAATTTATTTATCTTGCATTTGTTTTACTTTGGAAAGCTTTTTTCTTACACCCTGCTGCTGGCGTAGATGGAATGATTAAAGGGAAGACAAAGTACATCATCAAATATATTAGCAGTAGCATTAAGGCTACTGAGAAAAATGGTGAGTTTAGGTATTTAAATGGGATATTTCTATTTTCTGCAATATTCTGTGTGATAAATCACTTCTGTTGTGTTTTACTGACAATGTGTGCGACAAATATATAAACATCTAATCTTCTAAATGTTGTTTTCCTCATTCTAATTTTTTTTTTTTTTTTGCTACTAAATTTTCAGTTAAACGTTTTGTGGTTTTCCTCATTCAAATAATAGCTCCATGTAAAAATATTGTGCATTCCTCCTTACTGGCATTTCCTTAACCACATGAGTAAACTGGTGAGTGAGATAATTTGTTTAAAATGCTGCTTATTCATATTATTCCCATTTATAGATCTTGACTTAATCCTTTTTAAATGTCAATTAGGGAAAAATGTTCCTATCATTTTAGGCTTTGGTTTGAATTTTTTGTGATAGTTAGCTGTTACATAATTTTTTTAAAAATGAAAAGAAAATTAGAAGAATATAGTGCACTACTCTGAGAATAGCTAGATTGAAGTATGGTTTGGGAAAGAAATGTTTCTGTAGAATAACTACATATTGGCTCAGTTAATGAATTAAATACAGTAATGGTGTAACTTATAAAATAAAATAAGGCAACTTCTTATGACAAAGCAATATTTCCTGTATTGCAGTAGGAAAACAGACCATCCCAGAAAACCAGAATGCAGCAAGATGGTTTGTTTTATTGGCATGTGTGGAGTGACCCAATTGAAATAAGAGTTAAGAGTTTCTTGAGTTAGTTTAGGATATGAACTTTGGAATAAGAGTGATCTGGGGGTGGAGTGTCTAAAGGTGAAGACGTTTGCCTCCTACTTGGAAGGTTGAGAGTTCAATCCTAGGCAGGGAGAGATATTTATCAGGGTGCAAAGAGAAAATATCTGCTACAAACTCTATGTAGGTGTTAGGGCGGGCATTTGGCCAGTAAATACTCAGTTCCATTCAGTCGCCCTAACTCCACCCCGAAATCAGGGATTACAGGGTTGTAAAAAGAACTCTGTGGAACAAAGCAAGAATTTGTACTGTAGGATACATTCTACAGTGGGGTGCAATGAGTTGATCCTGCAGCATGACCTTATGTGGTTGCAGAATTACACAGAACCCTCCTATGTTTCAGCTTCTCTAGATCTCTTCTCCCGCAGGAGACAATTGTTCCCATCAGCCAACTGATGATATTCCAGAGCATATACTTGGGATAGAAGAAATCACTAATTAAAGATTTTTTGCATATCTAAGGCTCACGTGGAAGATGTGGATTTTGTGTAGCCAACCTGCAGTGTTCACTCCTTAGGCTTACCATTAGGTAATTTCATTCTGAACATCCAATGGACTATTTGTAAAAGCTTCTACAAGTTATCAGATTTCTGTTATGACTTGTACGTTTCTTATCTGTAGTCTTTGGCTTAAGACAGAATGAAGAAACATGTCAGATTTGCTCCTAACCCAAGCAACATATGAAAACACCAACTTTGTTTCCAATAGGTATGGGTTATACCTAAACATTCACATGCTTGACAACTCATGCAGGGCATTAAAGGACCCTTAGATTTATAATCACTGCTTAGTGACCATGTAAATTTGTGACAGGCCCCAAAATTATGATCCTGCCCCTTCTATGGTTACATGATTGCAATTTGAGTGCATAGCAACTGGGCTGCTTTTATGGCCGTTTGCAACATCCATTGTAGCATTGTGGCTACAATTTTTGGTTTTCTTAAAAAAAAACAAAAAACCAGAGTTTACTTTGGATTTTTGGCAAAGAAAAGCCCATTGCAGACAATGGGTTTGCTTAAGGACAGAGTTTCCCTTAATGACTATAGCATTCACTTTATGACTACAGCATTTATTTTATGACAAATGTAAAATCGGGCACAGTCCTGAGATAATTTGCTTAATGATTGGCATAACTTATGATCAAAATTCTGGGCCCAATTAAGGTTGTAAGTTGAGGACTGCTTATATTGGTTGATTAATTGAAAAGTTTTGCATTTAAAATAGGTTTTGCTTTACCAAAGATGGCTAGGTATCCTAAATTGTCAGGATGACCTTGGTCATTAGAATTATTCTTCACTCTCAGTGGATTTGAAATTGAAAGTAATGTTCTGACCCAAACCTTGTTTCAAGAAAATAAACAGAGGTAAAAACAAAACTTTTTAATGGTTCTCTGCGAATTCCGTTCATTCACAGCTAAAAGGCTATGAAAACTAATTGTCTCTGATTTGTGCAAGGCTGCCAAGAACACTAGATTAAGTAGCCAAGAACTATTCAAAACAAAAAGTCTCCAAACACAAACCAGGATAGTCCGAATGTCCACAAGGCTTGAAGTGCAAGAACTTCTTTGCTTCCTGCAAAGAATCCCGGTCTCTCAGGCTGGCTTTTATCTCTTAAGGGAGGGGCCATTATCTTGTAGCCTTACTCCCAAGTTGTCCATGCTACTGCAGCTACTCTTTCCTTCGAGCAGCCCTGCGTGCACGCGCACTGGGCACAGGGTCCCTCAGAGTCCTCTGCATCACTGATGCCAGCCTCCATAATCTCCGAAGGCAGCATTCCACTCTCTAATAGTCCTGGCTCCATCCTTGTATCACAAGCAGACCCCTAATCCAAGGCCCCACTCTCTGAGGCCTCAGCTGTCCGCACCTGCTGCCGGCGAACCACAAGAAGTAGTTTTGTTATATGTATGAAAGATTAAATAACAACTTATTGTCCACCTCAGAAAAAGTCATAAATATTGCATCTAATGAATTATGTATTTTAATTATTTTAGACATTACATGTTCTGTGTACCCTTCATTCACTGAAGGGATGGGTAATGGGGGGGAAGGTTATCTACATATATCTCAAGACACAGTGAATAGAAAATAGGTATTATCTTCCAGGTTTGTTGAATGTAATAACCTAATTGTACTAGCTTTTTACTACCACTTGTTAGTAACTTTTATTGTTGAACTTTTAGAAGCCAACTAAAATTTTGTCCTCTTTTATGAAGTAGCAGTTCGAAAATATAAACTCAGTCTTAATATAATAGAGGTGAACAAATGATAAAAGAAGTTTATGAAATGCTGATGCAGTTGATACTATAAGTCATGATGTGGGCAAAAATCAGAATTTAATTTAATAGTTCCACATTATTTAGGTTGAATTACTGAGAAATACTTCACTGGAATATTTATTACATGAATGATTTTAGATTGATTGATAAGACATTTCAATGAGAGAAAAAGTTAAAGAATGTTTTTCCATTAGACTTCCTCACAGTTTCTTTTTTTAAAAACTGCATTTATTTTTTAATTTTATATAGATTATTAATGTGTTCTTTACACAGTCAGCCAGATATTCAGACTGGCTTTGTCATTTTTCACTATTTACTTAGTCCTTCCCAAGAACCTGAGATAGGCAGATATAGATTATTATTATTATTTATTTCGATTATTATTTAGACTATTTAGATTATTTAAAAAAACCCAAGAAAAATAATACTGAAAAGAGAAGAAATAAAAGCAATATAAAACTTGCATGTAAAGTTCTCATAGATATATATTCATATATAAAATTTTACAGAGTTTTAATAAAGTATAACCATAGATTTAGTGCACAACGCTTATTATTCATACTGATTATAATGCAGGCTTAAAAACAGTGGGATATATATGCCTTTTTAAGTGGTAGCGATCAGAACTGTGCCCCCAACCATTTCCTCTGAAGTTGAGAGATGCTTTTGATGAGCTGGAACTCATGAAGGAATGCAAGTTGCATTTGTTATCAGTTATCTATAGTTCCTGAAAGATTGATCATAAAATATTTTTAACAAGAGGATTGTCAGGACTAAACAATGCATTTAGCCATAAATTACAGGCTTTCTGAAAGTTCTTTCAAACACCCTCCTTTTGTTCCACTTCTCTGTGTTATTTACTTTTAACATACTAAGAGTGCAGTAACAAGCATATTTGGAAATAAAGTTGATTGCAATAATAGTCACTTTATAATGACTACATGAATTGAGAAATACAGTACCATGAAAATGCTTTTCTTCTTTTTATCAAACTAGTCAAAAGATGTAGCTGCTTTGAATGACATGTTTTGCTACATACAAAGATTTGTAAATTGCTTCTTGGATTTTATAAAATTAAAGATTAAAATTCTAAATTGTTCAGTATCAGGAGTCATACTTAAAGAAGAGCTGTGAAGATATTTAAAAACGGCAACAAATATTTTGTGGTTTGTATTGCATTTCAGTTTGTTTTAATAAGTATATATCACTATTTTCTCTGGATCTTATTTTTTTCATGTTGTGTTCTATTCTCCTGCTTTCCAGTGTACACAATTCTCTCTAAGGTGCACTCTGAACGAAATGTTTATCCTTCTGCTGGAGTTCTCTTTGTTCACGTTTTGGAGAGAGAATATTTTAAGGGAGAGTTTCCTCCTTATTCAAAGCATGGTAAGAAATGTTTACAATTGTAAAGGCATATAAATACAATTTCCATTTTAACTTGTCTTTATGAAGATCACATATTCATCACATTCTCTACAAAAGTGTTAGCTCAAAAGCTATTGGCTATAAGAGAGAGAGAGAAGAATGGAGGTGTGAAAATATTTAATGTGCTAGAGGCACTGTTAATTTGATGTGAAAATATCATCCCTCTTGCTGTCTCTTTCTGATTAGATTTACAACTGACACATTTAGCATCATGAATCTTTTGGCCTTTGCACTAACTTACATGTGTCATGAATGATTGTAGCATTAAAAAGCCTGCAATTTTTCATGGCTATCACCTCTTTTCCAATTTTCATTTTATAAAAAATAACTATTGTGATACATGGATACATATTATTATTATTGTTGTTTCAATGAAATCACATCAGACTATTATGGTAAAATTAACAAACATACTTTCTTAACCAAATATTAATCTTAATATTTGTTCCTGTAGAGGGATACAGCAAAGCCTTCACAGTTAATTAAAACAACATCATCTAAGCTGCAATTCCCACTTAATTTGGTCCAATTTAGTATTTATACTGGTATTTATGCAGTATTAGGAGTTAATGGTGGTTGCTGAATATTCCATTTTTCATTTTGTTTTCAAATAGTTCCTTATTGTTGGCCAAAACGATAAAGAACTATAGCTATACTTTTTGGGGTTTATTACCATAATGAAAATAGGACCTAAATTATTGAGGATCTAAATAGTAGGAATTTACTATTAGAATGAACATAAAAATATGGTGTATAAATGATTAAATTGTATGTTAACGTGATTGTCTCTATTTATCCAGGTGAGATAAATAATGATCCCATAACATTTAATACAAACCTAATGGGTTACCCTGATAGACCTGGCTGGTTGCGCTACATCCAAAGAACACCATATAGTGATGGTGTGCTCTATGGGTCACCAACTGTAGAAAACATGGGCAAGCCAACTATAATTGAGGTACTTATTTTGCAGAATGTTTATTTTAAAAAAATGCATTTTGATAGAAACAGCCATCAGTACTAGAATGTCTCATAGTTCTCAAAATTTCTTTAGTCACATTATAACTGAAAAGCGAGTAGATGATATTATCCCTGACATAGCTTGTTCTGTGATTTTTCTGTTTTTCAGTAAAAGATTAAACAAAAACCTTATTTGTGTCAAATTTAAGAGAACCATTATTATTGTTTATCATATTATCCTTTAAAAATGTAATAATTAGTTACCATTTTACTTTTTTCCCATTATTAGATTACTGCTTATAACAGACGTACCTTTGAGACAGCAAGACATAATTTAATTATTAATATAATGTCAGCAGAAGGTATGTCTTCAAGAATTATCTCAGCATTTTGGGTGATTCAGTTGATAAATAATATGAATCGGTTAAGCTTTACTAAATAATTAAAGGCAACAGTAATGGGAAAAGGATATTTGATACCTTGTCTTGTCAAATCATATAATCATTTCTCTGATATAGTATCAGTTTGCATTTGCATGCTATTTTTATGCATTTATACCCCTCCTTCATTATTTTTAAAAATAACTCAAGGTGGTGAACATGCCTAGTACTCTTTCTTCCACTTATTTTCTCCACAACCCCAAACCCATGTGGTAGGTTGGACTGAGGAGTGACTGACTCTTGCCAAAGCTGAATATGCTATGATTGGTTAAATCCAAATTATGTGAGTCATGGCCTATTACTAAATGAGAGGGGGCCGTGGTGGCTCACGTGGTAAGACACTGGGCTTGTGTACTGTTGAGGTTGGTAGCTCAGCAGCTCGGTTCCTGTGAGTGAATAAACTATGGAGGGACAAGAAAGGAGCCTCCCCAACTGCCTACTGGCATTCAGGTGTTCCACAGGTAGATAACACCGCCCCAAAATTTCCTTTCACAGAAGCAGCCAGCCACCTTGGTGATACCTGGCTAACATGTGCCATATGCTGAATAAATAAACTAAATGAGAATGATGTAGTGACCTTTCAGTATTGGTTCAAAAGCAGTGCACGAGAGGTCCTAGCACAAATAATCAATCCATGGGATGTAGCACTCTGGCTCTTATAACCACACTTAAAAGACTAAGACCTTCTTAACCATGTTTCCTTTTATTCATGCAAATAAAAAGACATCGTACTATTATACATGTATCCTTAAATTACAACAGTTCATTTAGTTATCATTTGAAGTTAAAATGGTGCTGAAAAAAGTGACATGACCATTTTTCACACTTATGACCATTGCAGCGTCCCCATGGTCATGATCAAAATTTGGACACTTGGCAACTGATTCATATTTATGATGATTGCAGTATCCCTGGGTCATATTTTGCAACTATCTGACAGGCAAAGGCAGCATTCATTTATTTAACAACTGTGGCAAGAAAGATCGTAATATGGAGCAAACTCACTTAACTGTGTTGCTTAACAACACAAATTTTGGGCTCAGTTGTGGTTGTAATTTGAGGATTACCTGTGTTTATGATTTACTAGTCCATCTCTTTTAGTAGATTTAAAAAGGGTCTAAGGCACAATTACTTTTTTTTTTGGCAACTAGATCTTCTTTTGCCATATCAAGCAGAATTCTTTATTAAAAACATGAATGTAGAGGAAATGTTGGCCAGTGAGGTTCTTGGAGACTTCCTTGGAGCCGTGAAAAACGTATGGCAGCCTGAGCGCCTGAATGCCATAAACATCACATCTGCTCTTGATAGGGGAGGCAGAGTGCCCCTTCCTATTAATGACATGAAAGAAGGGTAAGAAGTTACATTTCTGCAGTAGCAATTATTTATTAAGTTGTTTAGTGTCTATTTTAAAAAAATGATTCAGTAAAAAGCAGTAGTGGCATCTGGACTAATGAATAATTAATTCCTGTTTTGTGAATTTAATCCAGGGGTCTCCAAACTTGACAACTTTAAGATTTGTGGACTTCAACTCCCAGAATTCCTCAACTAGTCATGCTGGCTGGCAATTCTGGGAGTTGAAGTCCACAAGTCTTTTTTTAAAAAAAAATTTTTATTGGTTTTTAAGACAACCATAGACAAACAAAACATAAAAACATCAAGCCATCTTCCATATATATACATACAGTGTGTCGGTTGATTTACAAATTGTTTTGTGCTTCCATTTCGTAGTCAATTACAATTACATTGTATATATTCTCATATTTTCAATCAAATATTAAATACATTAATATCATTGTTAATCAATCATTTGTCTCTACTTTTATTCATTCATGTTTTATGAAATAATCCATATTTTACTTAATTTGTTTTATAACAGTTCATATTATCATCTCAAATCTATACTACAATCATTTTGTAGATAAAATAAGAAAAGAATACATCTTTGTATATTTATTATTTTCTAAGAATCTACATATTTCATTGCCATGTTTTATTGTCTAACCATTGATAGAATAGATCCCAAATTTTATAAAATTGTTTATCATCTTGTTCTCTGATTTCAAATGTCAATCTACTCATTTCAGCACATTACAATATTTTCTTAATGATTTCCTCCTGTAATGGTATTTTTCCAGTTTTTGGCAAATACAATCCTAGCCGCCGTTAATCCATTTACAATCAGGTATTTCAATTCTTTACTATATATTTCAGGTAAAATTCCCAATAAAAATATCTCTGGTTTCAAGTCTATATGCTTTTTTGTCATTTTTTCCAACCACATGTGAATTTTAGTCCAATATTTTTTAGCATAAGTCCACAAGTCTTAAAAGTTGCCAAGTTTGGAGACTCCTGGTCTAATCCATCTTTCTCTGCTAGAAGGAATTATTCTTTAAAATTTAAAGCTGCAGGAAGAAAAGACCTGATGATTTTAGTTTTAATTGGATGATGTTTTGCCTTGGCATGATACCTGACTCCAAAGTGGAATGGACACTTCAGGTGGTTTTTAACTACTCTCATTAAGACGAATATTACTAATTCTCCCCAGTTTGAATTCCTATCCAGAGTTCTGCCTCCAATCTATAGTATGGGAGCTCATTAGGTTCAAAAAGACCTATCTGCTTGCCAAGAGTGAAAAAAGTAAAACAATGCCTAATATAATTTATTTTTGCAACTTCTTGATGGGGAAGGGTGGGAAGAGGAATAGCTTCAGAGATCAATAGTCCTGCCTTCTTAAACTGTCCATTATTTAATTTATTATTCATTAAGTAAATCATGTTTCTCAACCTTAGCTACTGTAAGATCTGTGGACTTGAACTGTGGCTGGTGGAATTCTGGGATTTGAAGTCTACTCATCTTAAAAGTGTCTGACATTGAGAATCACTATTATAGATTATTAGAATCTACCATTTATAATGAATGTTAATGTTTATCCTTAAGTTGTAATCACCCTTGTAGTATATTTCTCACTTTATTTATTTATTTTATTTATTTATTTGATTTGTCAATCGCTTACAAGATAATAGATATGTATAAACATGAGTAAGAATACAGGAAATAATCAATAAGCACTTAGACTTATATACCACTTTATAGTGCTTTACAGCCCTCTCTAAGTGGTTTAGAGTCAGCATATTGCCCCCAACAATTTGGGTCCTCATTTTACCCACCTCGGAAGGATGGAAGGCTGAGTCAACCTTGAACCTGGTGGGATTTGAACTGCCAAATTGTAGGCAGCTGGCTGCAGAAGTAGCCTGCAGTACTGCACTCTAACCACTGCACCACAGAGGCTCTTCATATATAAAATATATTAATATAAAATAGGTACGAATAAATGGGGACAATAGGACAGGGACGGTAGGCACAACGGTGCACTTATGCACGCCCCTTACAGATCTCTGAGAAATGGGGTGAGGTCAATAGTAGTTAGTTTGAGGTTAAAGGAGTGGGGGTTGGAGGATGTAACAACAGAGTCAGGTAGTGCATTCCAGGCATTGACCACTTTGTTGCTGAAGTTGTACTTTCTGCAATCAAGTTTGAAGCAGTTTACATTGAGTTTGTATCTGTTGTGTGCTCTTGTATTGTTGTGGTTGAAGATGAAGTAATCATTGATTGGTAGGACATTGTAGCAGATAATTTTGTGTGCTATGCTTAAGTCTAACCGTAGGCGGTGTAGTTCAAGGATGTCCAAGCCCAATATCTCAAGCTTGGTGATATAGGGTATTCTGTTGCAAGCAGAGGAGTATAGTACTCTTCTCGTGAAATACTTCTGGACTTGCTCGATTGTATTAATGTCCAATATGCAATGCAGATTCCAGACTGATGAGCTGTATTCGAATATTGGTCTGGCAAAAGTTTTGTATGCTCTATTTAGCAATTTGATATTTCTGGAGGAGAAGCTTCGTAAGATTAGATTTACAACTTTTAATGCCTTTTTGGCAATGCTGTTATAGTGAACTCTGGTGCTTAGGTCATTTGATATGAGGACTCCAAGGTCCTTGATAGAGTGAGGATCATCAACGAGGTCATATTCGCCTAGCTTGCATTTGGTGTACTGATTTTTTTTTACCAATGTGTAGTACAGAGCATTTGTTGATTGAGATTTGGAGTTGCCAGATGTTTAACCATTCACATAAAGCTCACTTGCAGCCCTGTGGATAGACAACAGGAACATGAAGTGTAAAGCCCTGGCCAGCATGTGATGCATCCGGCCCACAGACTGGGAGTTTGACAGCCCTGTTATACAACAACTTAGCTAGGCTGTTATACAAGGCTCTTTTGCAGTTTCATTCACATTGTAAATATTTCCCCTGATAAATTTATATAACACATCTCTACAATATTTTTTTCTTGCATATCTAGATTATGGGGTGTGTGTGCATTTCTAGTTGTTGGGCCAATTGGGTTATATATTTTGTTCATATTTTTTAAAAATAAATTTGAATGGAAACAGAGCTGGACCCCTCCAGAAGTTAACAGAATAATAGAATAACAGAGTTGGAAGGCACCTTGGAAGTCTTTAGTTCAGTGGTCCCCATCTTTGTGGCTTGGTGGCCCAGCTGGTGTGGGGAGAAGTGATCAGAACAGTGTGACCAATAGGCTGGCATGCACATGTGTACACAGCTTGACTCGTGCAAGTGGTGGCACACGTATGCACACGTATGCACACGCAGCATGACTGCAAGGTGAGCTGTGCATGCATGCATGTGTGCACTGACCTGCCACCCATGGGAGTTGAGTTGCATGTGCATGCATGTGTGCCAGCCTGGTTGAGAATAGGCCATGGTCCAGTAGTGGGCCACAGCCTGGGGGTTGGGGACCCCTGTTCTAGTCCAATCCCCTACTCAGGCAGGAAACCTCATACCATTTCAGACAAATGGTTGTCCAATCTCTTCTTAAAAACTTCCACTGTTGAAGCATCCACAACTTCTGGAGGCAAGTCATTCCACTGATTAATTGTTCTGTCAGGAAATTTTTCCTTAGTTCTAGGTTGTTTCTCCTTGATTAGTTTCCATCCATTGCTTCTTTGTCCTGCATTCAGGTTTTGGAGAATAGGTTGACTCACTGTTTTTTGTGACAATCCCTTAGATATTAGAACACTGTTGCCATGTCACCCCTAGTCCTTCTTTTCATTAAGCTAGACATCCAAGTCCAGCAACCATTCTATATATGTTTTAGCCTACAGTCCCCTAATCATCTATGTTGCTTTTCTCTGTACTCTTTCGAGAGTGTCACTGTGTTTTTACATGGTAGCATACAAAACTGGGTGCAATATTCCAAGTGTGATCTTACCAAGTCATTACAGAGTTGCATAAACACTTTCCGTGATCTTGATTCTATCCCTTTATTAATGCAGCCTAGAACTGCACTGGCTTTTTTGGCTGCTGCAGCACACTACTGGCTTGTATTAAGTGATTGTCCTCTAAGACTCCTAGATATCTCTTGTTCTTGTTGTTAAATTGCAACTCTTGTTATCTATCCATGCTGGCTGAAATAGATTGGACAGCCAAAAATTCCTACCACTAATTGGTAGAGAAAAATGGTCATTCAGTAAAACAAATCATATTATGACTTTGTCAGGGACCTTGGAGTACTCATCTCAAATGATCTACAGTAGGCTAGAGCCTACTGTAACTACAAAGCCAAAAAGGCATTAAGAGTTGTTAATCTAATTCTACGTAGCTTCTTCTCTGATAATATCACATTACTAACTAGAGCATACAAAACATTTGCTAGATCTATACTTGAATACAGGTCATCAGTCTTGAACCCATATCATGTATCTGATATTAACACAATTGAAAAGGTCCAGAAATATTTCACAAGAAGAGTTCTCCACTCCTCTACTCATTGCAGAATACCTTATGCCACCAGACTTGAAACTCTAGACCGAGAAAACGAGGGAGGGAATAGAAGGGGAACTTACCAAATTTGCAGATGATACTAAGCTGCTAGGAATAGCTATCACTCAGGAAGATAGGCTCAAGATCCAGATGGATCTTTACAGACTAGAACACTGGGCCATATCTAACAAAATGAAATTTAGTGTAGAGAAAAGTAAAGTCCTACACTTAGTCAAGAAAAAACAAAAGTACCCATATAGACTGGGTGAAACCAGGCTCAATAGCAGTAACTGTGAGAGGGATCTTGGAGTCTTAGTGGACAGCCAGCTAAATATGAGCCAGCAGTGTGCAGCAGCAGGCAAAAAAGCTAATACAATACTAAATTGTATTAACAGAGGGATACAATCAAGATCAAGGGAAGTACTAATACCACTCTATAAAGCCTTAGTAAGACCACACCTAGAGTACTGCATCCAGTTTTGTTCACCACATTATAAAAAAGATTTTTTTAAAAATAAAGTTTTATTTGGGTTTTCACACAGACAAAATACAAGTAAAATATCTTTTTTGAAAATAGCATGGTCCCGGGTTGAACTTCTTTATAAAACTCAATTTCATGCTCCTTTTTGTATTCTATTCCATATCTTATACTATTCCACATTTTCTATATAGTTTTTCCCCTCTTTTAATTTTTGCAATTTTATTTTGATTATCTCATCTCAATTCAAATAATTATATTTATACTTTTGTCTGTTCTGTTTCAATTTCATATTGTCTTTTTTCATTAAACAAATTTTCTCCAGTAGTTACTAATTGGAGTATGACACCTTTATATCTTTTAATTACATTCATTCAACTCTTATTTAAACTTCAATATATACCTTAAGGTTACTGACCTTCAATATAATACATAATACATAACTTCCAATCGAATTCTGCTTGGTACATTCTTATAATACACACTATATTCTTTAAAAAAAGGATTATAAATATATGTAATTATAAACCCCCATTCCATTCCAATTCAGTTCTATCATTAATAATCATTAAAATCTTAACATCTTTAACACTTCTTTTCATTTGAATATCATACTTCCTTAAAAACATATATAATCTCCATAATTAATTTTTCCCTTATTTCTCTTCACGTAAGTTTTGTAAATAATTAAATATTCATTTTGTTACATTTATTTATTGACAGGCATTCCACTGAATTACGATAGCTATTTTATCAAACATTTTAATCATACATTGTTTCATGTTTTCTAAAATTATTTCTGTTTCTAATATAGCAATACTATCTTATGTACCTTTGCAGAATCTCTATTTCCATTAAATTTTCACCCATTATCTCTAAATAGGCCCTGTTTCTCTATATTTTGTTTCTGTCCTTTATAACTTCTTTTCCTTTCTTTCTTCCCTCTCATCTTCTCCCTCCCCTTTTTACCTCCCTGTCTCTCTACTTCTAATTCTCTCTTCTGCATTTCCCTCTTCTGTTGCTTTCTGATTTTATACTTATTTTTCATTCTATTTTTTTGGTGTTTTTTTCCCAATTTTAAACCTTCCCTTTTTCCCCCCCCCCCCCACTTTCCCTTTTTCCCCCCATCTAAGATTACTTGTTCAATAAAGATGGCTTTTTCTTTGTCGCAATCTTCTTGTCCTGCAGGCATTTCTTGTTGTTTCTTATAATTCCAAATCTCCATTTCTGAAAAATGAAATATGAAGCCAAAAGAACCTCTCCCTTTTTGTGCATCTTCTTTGTACTTTTTAAGTTCCATTTTCAGTTCTTCTAAAAGTGGAGACATTTTAAACAGTTTTAAACAACCACCCAGTTGATTTTAGACATTCAAATACAATAACCAAAAATCCAGAAATCATCAAGTAATCCAAATAGTCCCAAGTTATTTCTTCTTATTTCTTTTTCCACTTTCTCTTCCTGGGGTTTTAGTTGCGATATTTCAGTTAAAATGTATCTTTTGTAAGTCTTGTTGAGATTTTGCTGTGAGTTCTTTTTAATTCCAGGCAGTCTCCTCCCTTCCAGATCCTGCCCTTTTATTCTTTTTCTCTCCTTTCCTGTTTTCAAAAGCTTTTGATTATCCAGAAATCTTTATTATCCCTTTGACTTTTTATTTTCAGCATTAAATGCCTATTAATGTCAAAATGGATTTTTTTCCAATTTCTTGCTTAAGTCTCTTAGCTGTCAGTATAGGAAAAGGAGACAAAAAAACAAATCTTTTCCCTTTTCTCTCTACTTCACAGCTTAAAAATCTTCTTAGGGATCAATGTTATTGGTTTTTTTTTTAATAGTTTCAATTCCAGGGTACCTTATTTGTTGCTTTTGCTGTTTGAGCCGGTCAACCAAAACTTTATCTTCTTATCTTCCTCCTGCACATTCTTTTCCAGTCAAGTTCTTCTTTGTGGTGGCCATTTCTGACCACCGCTACAACCGCCTTCGGGAAAGGGAGTAATGGCCAGCTGGGGAGGAGAGATGTGGCTCTCCTCAACCCTGCTGGCAGTCTCCCCCCTCTTCACCACCTGTACGGGGTGGCTTAGCCCCGAAACCAGCCGGCTCGGGGTGCTCCAGCGGCAAGCACGGATTGAAACCTCACAGAGATGAGGTTTCGGTCTGTCACCGAAGAAGCTCAAACCGGAAGTCCTCATAAATTTTTTTTTGAGAATCTAGAAAAAGGACAGGGAAGAGCAACCAGGATGACTAGGGGACTGGAGTCTAAAACATACAATGAACGGTTGTAGGAACTGGGCTTGGCTAGTCTAGTAAAGAGAAGGACCAGGGGAGACATGATAGCAGTCTTCCAATATTTGAGAGGCTGCCACAGGGAGGAAGGGGTCAAGCTATTTTCTAAAGTGCCTGTAGGCCAGACAAGGAATAATGGATGGAAACTGAACAAAGAGAGATTTAACTTGGAAATAAGGAGAAACTTTGTGACAGTGAGAACAATCAACCAATGGAACTGCTTGCCCTCGGAAGTTGTGGGAGCACCGTCACTTGAGACGCTCAAGAAGAGATTGGACTTCCATTTGTCAGAAATGGTGTAGGTCTCCTGCTTGAGTGGAGGGTTGGACTAAATGACCTACAAGGTCCCTTCCAACTCTGATTATCTGTTAAATCTTTTAAATCTGTCTGTTAGAAAACCTAGAACTACGCCGCCTCTGGTCCGATCTAATTATAGTATATAAAATCATACATTGCAATGTCCTAACTGTAAATGAATACTTCAGCTTCAATCATAACAATACAAAAGCACACAATAGATACAAACTCAAGGTTAACCGCACCAAACTTGACTGCAGAAAATATGACTTCAGCAATAGAGTGGTCAATGTCTGGAATACTCTACCTGACTCTGTAGTTTCTTCCCCAAACCCCAAAAACTTTAACCTTAGACAGTCTACTATTGATCTCACCCCCTTCCTAAGAGGCCTGTAGGGGGCGTGCATAAGTGCAGTAATCATGCCTACTATCCCTGTCCTATTGTTTTTTATTTTTCTTATAAGTATCTATCTCATGTGTTCAAAACTATATTTATTCTTATACCTGTATCTTGTAAGTGATTGACAAATCAAATAAATACTAAAAATACTAAATTATGATGCTAGACTTAAGACTAGAAAAAAGAAGTTCAGGCCATTTGCCGCCTTGGAAGTATGCTGGTTAGTTTTGAACTACTCTCTTAAAGCCCAATCTGTGTCACAGAGATGTAAGGAAATCCCTATGAAATCTATCTTGAACTTCATATATGAAATTACAATATGATAAAACAACAAAAACATATTTCTCTTATCTACCTAGGCAGATTGTAAAGCCCTTTTTTTTTCTCCTGTGTTAAAAATTCTATCAGGGACATAAAAGATAGTAAGAGGCTAGAATAGATCTATAGAAATTTGAGAAAACAGCAGATGTAGGAGAAAATTAGAATTCCACTAGGGCCAAGAATGGAATAATGTTAGTTCTATCTTTTATCTAAATAAAATCACATCCATATTTTAATAGGAAGGAAATAATAAAAGAGCAAATATGAATTAGACAACAATGGTCAAAATGCTAAGACTGGAACCTATTTTCATTCACAGAAAGGAAATGAAACAAATGGTTAATTTAAAAATTGTCAATAACTATCCTAAAACTGTTTCCACTTCTTTCCCCCAGTGTCTATGTTATGGTTGGTGCAGATGTTACATTCTCCTCCTGCTTACGGGAAGTAGAAAACCCACAAAATCAACTGAGATGCAGTCAAGAAATGGAACCTATAATAACTTGTGATAAAAAGTTTCGTACTCAGTTTCACATAGACTGGTGTAAAATTTCTTTGGTGAGTTATTGAATGGAGATATTTTAAAAAACATAGCTGCTCAATGTTTAAAATATTATGTGATTAATTTCATGGGATGGACATAATTTCTGTTACTTGCAGTCTTAATGCTCTGCCATGTCCCTGCTTGGAAAATTTATGGTGCTTGTCCCCAGTATGCCATTTTGTGACTGATGAAAATCTAACTGAGTGAAGAAAAATTTATTGTGCTTGGTAATTCTATGGTTATTCTTCATTTTAATGTTCAGTCATGTCCGATTCTTTTTTTTTTCAAATAAGTTTTTTATTTTCAATTGTCATATCTGATTCTTGAAGACTGCCTGAACAAGTCCCTGCTTGGGAAGATTTTTCATAAATAATTTTTCATTGCTTCTTTTCTAGGCTGAGAGAAAGTGACTGGATCAGGGTCACCCAGCCGGCCTATTATCCAAGGCAGGACTAGAATTCAGTCTCCTGGTTTCTAGCCTGATGCCTTAACCACTACACCAAACTGGCTTTCATTTGGCATACTGTTTCATTATTTGCATCTTTGCTTTTAACCAGTTTCCCTAATAGAAGTAAAACAGATTTTAAATTTGGATAATAAATGGCTTTGATACACAGTACTTGAAAGCAGTCAGAGAAAAATAATTGTACATAGACACATGGATGTATAGTGAGTAATTTTCTTCTTCTTCTTTTTTTTTTTAAAAAAAGCAAGATTCCTTTGTTGCATCTCCAGTACAGATATGATATTGTTGGTCAGGATCACCCAGCTTCTTTTGATGACAGACAGGAAGAATAGGCTAACGGTCTGAGTTGACATAAAACAGCTATTTATGTCCTTACACTTATTTACAACTAAGTGTTATTGTTCAAAGAAAAGCCTTTACTTATTGTAGAATAAGAAAATTACAGCTAGTAATGCTTTTAGCAGCATTTGTGATATATTTTCCTATTGGTAAAAAAAAAAAGATACAAAATACAGTGTTGGTACAACAGGTTTTAAAAGTTAAATATGTAGACATCCATAAATTGAGACTCATTCCAATAACTTCATTGGCATTCAGTTTTCTTAGCAGCAATATGGAAGACGCTTGCCATTGCTTTCTGGAGTTTTTCTCTTTCCTAATTTGTTTAAAGCCTTACAGTCTTCCTTGTTGACTTCTTTACAACGACTCAACCAGCTACATTCAAGAATTTTGGATAAAAGTTTGAACCTGGTCAATGTAAAGCTTTATTATAAATAGTTCTTGGCTTATGACCACAAAGATTTTTTTCCCCCTAAACAAGTTATTCAATAAATTGTGCATGATTTTATGATCTTTTTGCCAGGATTGTTAAACAAACCACAGCAGTTTTTCAGTGAATCATGTAGTCATTAAGTGAATCCGGCTTCACCCACTGACTTGCTTGTCAGAAATTGTCTGGGAAAGTTACAAATAGTGATCACATGACTTTGTGACTCTGCAACTCTTGTAAATACGTGCTGGTTGCCAGGTGCCAAATTTTGATTATATGTCCATGGGAATGCTGCAACAGTCATAAGTCAGAGGACCAGTCAAAAATCACTTTTTTCACCACCATTGCAACTTTGAATGGTCACCAATGAATGATTGTTAGGTTGAGGACTACCTGTATACAGGGGTGGATTTCTACCATTTCTGTCCACCTCTGTAGAACCGGTAGCTTTGAAGAGCAGCTGATGTTTTTGCCCACCTGCCCACCCGGGCTCTTACCTGACCTTTAATTCCTGATTTTTTTCAACTTCAGCTGCCGTGTGAGGCAGCTGCAGTTAAAAAAGCAGGAAAAAAGGGCTTTTTGAAAGGCTGCTTCTCTGCACGCGGCATGCTAATGACGATTTACAGGCGCCCACTTGCAGCATGCAGGGACGCACATCATAAGTCACCGAACCTTGTAAATGACTGAACTGGTAGTTAACCCTGTCGGATCCCACCCCTGCCTGTATATCCTATTCATACTTCACCTGTGATTGTGTGTTCAGGGATGAAATATACATATTGATCAAAAGGAACTAAAACCTTTTAAATCAAAACAGTGTTGCCATTACATACCATTTTAATGGCTGCAAACCAGTTATTTGAATCTATAGAGATTATAATACCTAAACCCCTGCAAAGCCTCTCTTGAGAGACTTCAGCTCTTCACCCACCCATTCATTTAATAGGTCATGTTTCCTGGCGGGGGTAGGGGAAATAACTGTGACATAATTGGAAATGCATGCCAGAAACGATGGATCCTTATTTCTGGCTCTTCAGCTCACCATATTCCAGGATGTAAAAGTCAGCAGGTAAATATTCAATTTGAGCAGGCAAACATGCTACTGCGCATATTTCTAGAGAAAGCCTATGCTTTTGTCAGCATTACTGGAACATCCTTTCATCAGCTACATCGGGCTTCAATAAAACAGTGTTGAGAGTCTGCAAGAGCTTTTTTAACAGTCTCCTTATTTTGCAAGCTAAGTTCATCTTTCTAGGAAGTGCTTGGATCCTCAAGAATTACAGATTTGGTGAAATGATCGGATCTTCAAAGGATATTGAAGATGGTCTATGTTTTCAGGGGATGTTGGAAAAGGAAGTCCAGCATTTCTGCCTTTATATCCATCTGTTTTTCTGAACCAAATCAGAATAATAGAATACAAGTTGGAAGGATCTTGGAGGTTTTCTAATTAGAATTAGAAGAACTTTATTGTCATTGTACAAGTACAACAAAACTGTGGATGCACCCCAGCAAGTGTTCGCAATACAATAAAACCAAAGCACATAAAAATGAAGATACGAAAGATAGAGTACCCACGTCTCCATTTTCAATTTGAGAATACAATATCTACAAATATACACAAAATATACATCCAACACTGACTGTAACGCTTAGCCGAGTATAATACACAAGAGATGGATTGTACTGTAATATGTTATTATACATCTGAATGGGGTATTGAGATTTCACATCTTTTCACATCTTAATGAGGTAGTGACTTCGTGTTTATTTGCAGTTCGGATGGCCCAGGGAAAGAAACTATTTGTTAGTCTAGTGGTGTGGGATTTTATTGACCTAAAATGCCGTCCAGACGGCAGCAGGTCAATAAGATAATTGCCAGGATGTGAGGGGTCTTCTGTAATGGCCTTGATTCTGCTTTGGCAGCGGGACCTGGCTAAGTCTTCCAGGGAGGGCAGAGGGCAACCAATGATCTTTTGAGCTGTGTTTATCAGCCTCTGTATAGTTTTCCTGTCCTCAGCTGTGGAGCCTGCATACCATACACCCAGACAATATGTCAGAGTGCTGTCCACAGAGGCTTTATAGAAAGCCAGCAACAGCTTCTTAGCCAGATTGTTCTTCCTGAGAATCCTCAGGAAGTGCAGCCGCTGTTGAGCCTTCTTCACTATGGCCTTGGTGTTAGGGGACCAGGAGATATCAGCTGAAATATGGATGCCAAGGAATCTGATTGTAGGGACAGTTTCCACTCGTTCTCCGTTGATGATGAGTGGGGCGTGGTGCTGTCCATGTCTCCTGAAGTCTATAATCAGTTCTTTGGTTTTACGGACATTCAGTGACAGATTGTTCTGTGAACACCAGAATCCAACTGTGAACACCATAATCCAATCGACTTGTCTAGCTGGAGACCCTATACCATTTCAGACAAGTGATTGTCCAATCTGTTCTTAAAAGCTGCAGTGATAGAAGGCAAACTTCACTGATTAATTGTTCTGACTGTCAATTAGTCCTTTTTTCTAGGATGAATCTCACCTTGGTCAGTTTCTGTCAAATTGTTTCTTATTTTGCCTTCATGCACTTTAGAGATTAGATTATCTTCTCCTTTGATATTGGAAGACTGATATCATGTCACTCCTAGTTCTTCTTTTCATTAAAGTAGACATACCCAATTCCGGCAACAGTTCTTCATATATATTAGCCTCCAGTCTCCCAGTCATCTTTCTTGTTCTTCTTTGCCCTCTTTTTAGAGTTTCAGCGTTTTCTTATATTGTGGTAGCCAAAATTGAATGCAATATTCCAAGTATGGTCTTACCAAGGCATTATAAATTGGTACTAATGTTTCATGTGATCTTGATTCTATCCCTCAGTCAATGGGCAATTGTTTCATGCAGTATAGGCAAAGTTTAACAAAGTCATTGTATTTGTAAGTTTGGGATAGGTTTGTTGTTGCAATAATTATCTAACAATTGACTAGCATGCTTTTAAATTACAGTTCCTGGCTCATGCATAGGGAGTGACCACACATAATATCAAGATTATTTATAAATCAGAATGTATTCAACAAGTCATTATATCCTTATTTGTATATCAAGATAAAAACAAACTACACTGTAACTTAAATGTAAGGATGAATCAGGCTACGACAGTCCAGAAATCTAAACAGAGTAATCAGCGTAGCGCATACATGAAGGTGATGGGCTGGCATTAGAGATATTAGATGCAAGTCCATCTTGGGGCCAGTCATTCTTTGTCAGCCTGTCTTAATTCACAGGGTTGACATGGAGAAAAATAAGTGGAGTGGGCTCTATGTTTGTTGTCTATTGCTCCCGAACAAAAACAAACAGGGTATAAATCTAAGAAATAGAATAAATCTAAATATATTGGAACGAAATCTTGTTTACTTCTGCTATCTGAGCCACAAGGAAAAGAAAAGAGAAGAAAATTTGGCCTGATATCTTGTGGGTTTATGTTTCATGCAAGGACTTCCAAATATTTTTGTAGTTTGGTCTCCAGTGAAATTATTTTTTATGCTGTTGGATCAAACTGTGAATTCTGTAGAGTATTTCTATTTTGATTAATTTTCTTGTACAAATCTCTGGTCTTTGAGCCTCATGAAAACTGATTTCCTATGATATTTTTAACAGACCTTATGCTGTATATTAAAAGTAATTGGGTAGATTATAGTATCTTACTTTGGCCGCAACAAAAAATTTAGGAATTAAGATTTTGTAATAAACAAATGTATATATTTGTTAAGCTGTTGACTTCTTTTCTAAAGAAGTCTAAAATGCTTTTTGTACTTTTGGTATCAGGTTGATAAAACACAGCAAATTTCTACTTATCAAGAAGTGATCCGTGGAGAAGGCATATTACCAGATGGTGGTGAATATAAGCCACCTTCTAAGAATCTGAAAAGCAGAGATTATTATTCAGACTTCCTCATTACTTTGGCAGTTCCCTCTGCAGTTGCCCTGGTGCTTTTTCTAATACTTGCTTATATTATGTGCTGCCGGCGGGAAGGAGTGTGAGTACTTTGAAGCATTAATATGTGACTGCATTTTTGTAAAGTTCTATACATGAAAAAAGATCGTTAGGCTCAACTTAATTCAGTTCATAAAAACAGTGTTTCATATTTTCTAAAACATGCACTAAAATGAAATTTCTACCGTTATCTTTCAAGCTAGCAATCTTAATTTGTTAAGAAACCGCAAAACAAGTTATCCTTCTTAAAAAAAGAAAGTTGACTTGTCTCATTTGGAATTAAAAGTAGGAAAAAATGTCTTTCTAATAATTAAAATAAACTTTCTTGAGATTGTGAACTGAATTTTAGGTCAATAAAAGCCAAAGAAAGCATTACTAAAAAGCAGCAAGCAACATATCATCAAATTCATTTTTTATTACAGTCATAAGGAAACAAACATAGTCCTCTTCCATTTTACATGCACATGTCTGGGGACCTTGTGAGTCCATCATTTGTCCTGTATATACATGTGTTTATATCTGTGTTATTCCTTTTTTTCATTTCTTTCAATGCCTTCACTCATGCCTTTTCATAAAGTTGTGGTAAATACTCCTGAAGGACATGAAGCCCAGTATGATTCAAGCTTCTTGTATGTAGCCAGAAGCTCACAGATCAGACCTAGCTGAAGTGTTCTGTGAAGGGCCACGATTTCTGTATCAGGACAGCTTGGCTTGTGGCTGCTGGGACAGCCCTTTGGGAGCCATGTCAATTTCTGGCTCTTTTATGGCTTTTTTGAATCACGATTCTCTTGTAATAAAAGCCAGCATTTCCATATCATTCCCTGTTTCCATCAGCATTTAGATTTAATATTCCAAATATCAATGCTATTATTTAATTCATAACTTTTGTTTTATTTTTAGGGAAAAGAGAAACATGCAAACACCAGAGTAAGTGTCTTCTTCTTTCCTGTTATTTTCTCCCATCTTTTAAGCATTTCCTAGGAGCTTCTCATGCTTCATGTACATGTATACCATTTTCATCCTCATTATCTTGTCCTTCATTGCCAAGTTAGCTGCTTTTGAAAAATATACACTTATAAGGAGTTGAGTAGGGCAAAATAAAAAGAGTTAAAATTAATAATAAAATAGATTAAAACCAAAATCACTCCTTGGCCTTTTGGCTAAGGTCAGGTGTAGTAAAACCAAAATTTGTATTTGGGGATTTTGAAAGGACTAAATCCATAACTAAAGGTAGTTCCTGGTGCCTTATAGATCTGCTGAACTATAATTCCAAAATTCCTAGTAAGCTTCCTCTTGCTAATTGAGAATTCTGGGATTATAATTCTATCCTATCTGTAAAGTAATTCCTTTTGATAAATATTCATAGGATAATTAAAAGATTAAAATTCTGATTTGTGAAAGGAGTACTGTACATTCAGAATGTTCCTTTTCTGAATAAGGATCTGAATAATTATAAAACTGAAAGTAATATATGAGCTTGATTATACAGATTTCTTTCAGTGGAATGGATTTCTAATACTTAATAGCAGAAGGAGCAAATTCTAACTCTCATAATATTGCCAAATTATGAATTCCTGGAACTCAAGCAAAATAGTCCAAGCTGGGAGCTGTATTACAGACACATCTGAAAAGATATGGATTGGTCATTCATCTAAAACAAAAATTTGTTGCCCTCTCAGTGTTGTTAAATACATCTCCCAGTACTCCTTAATATTAGCAATGCTGGCTGTGGATGATGGAAATTTTAATTCAGTAATGTATAAGTTTTATAATGTTAGTTCTATAGAACAAATAGGCTAAACAAACATGTAGATTATATTGAAGCTATAAAGTTTTTCACATAATTAAAAGTAAAGTCAAGCTTGAAACATTGTAAATTGTAGGACTGAATTTTAATAAGTTCACTGTTCTAAATAACAACCATGTATGTTTATGGCAGCTCTTCATTCCATTAATTTTTCAGCGTTTTGACACTAAGAAAGGCTGCCTTTGGTATCAGTGGAAATTTTTTCGCTGAAACAAATTTCAGCTGGTTTTGGAAGAGGGAGATGTTAACCATAATGAAACCTCTCTCTCTCTCTCTCTCTCCCTCTCTTTCTCTCTCTCTCTCTCTCTCTCTCTCTCTATCTATCTATCTATCTATCCTATCATGTATCTATCTATCTCTATTATCTATATTGTTTGAGGCATATCAAAAAATTACTGAATATTATTTTGGTATAAGGTAGTCCTTATTTAGTGACTATCCTAGTTAGCAACTGTTCCAAGTTATGACAGTGATGAAAAATTAACTCTACAATCAATCTTTGCATTTGCAACCTTCGCAGGTCTATAAAACAAAGGAGCACAGTTTCACTTATCTGTTTCACTCAATGACATGAAGGATGATTGCTAAATGAGGATTATCTTTCACAGTGGGTATATGTTTATATCTATATACTATTAAAACAATAGTGTCTATTTGATAGTTTGTAATCCTCCCCAAAACACAGCATCATTGGGCAAAACTTTGCCAACAAGGTTACTTCAAATGGGCTAACTTACAGAATACAAGGACCTATTACTCCCAAAGGAATAAAATTCAGGTGTTTGGTTGCTGCATCAGTGCTGTTGCACTGTTGCTATTCGGGCTATCTTACTCACTGTCAGTTGCAGTCATGTGAGCCTCATTTTCATTGTTCCCTGGCAGTTTCTCATAAGTCCATGAGGAACCAGAAGGAACTGGTATGATCGTCAACACTCCTTACCACCTTCCCCAGCAGACACTTTGCTTGTGGGAAGCTTGTAGGAAGAAAGTCAATGAAGAAATTGTGCATCCTTGAACAGTTCCTCTTTGGTTGCACCATGCTACCCACCTGCACACTCTCTTGGTCCTTTCCCCATGTGGCAGCAACTCTTTACCTGCCTGCAGAGAAGAAAAAATATAGGGAGAAAAGGAAAAGAGGGGAAAAGAAAACAAGGAATAGGGAGAAAGATGGGAGAGAGGAAAGGAACAAAGATTTCCAATGTCAACCAGCAAGTTCCCACAAGGAAGCTCAGTGAAGAAGCCAACGGGAAGTTGGAAGTTGCCACTGAATTTTTGCCTTGCCTGTGGTATTTTTCTTTGTTTTGATGTGGAAATAGGTATAAATGTCATGATTTCCTCTTTCTCTCTCTCCTGTGTGTTTTGTGTATATGTGCGTGTAAAATTTCTTTGCCTCTCAAAATAAAATTCAGTAATTTTTTTAATATGGATCATATCTTTTGAATTTATTTGACAATAATTTGAGGGTTTATTTTGCAGCACTCCTTATGATAAGGCCTATTTTTTAAAAAAAATGTTTCCTTTTTATCTAGTATTCAGCTGGTCCATCACAGTGCAATTCAGAAATCCACAAAAGAACTTCGGGAGATGGCAAAAAACAGAGAGATAGCATGGCCACTCTCAACACTTCCTGTTTTTCACCCAGTCACTGGTGAGATTGTACCACCTGTTCACCCAGACAATTATGACAATACTAGCATGCCGCTGATGCAAACACAACAGTAAGTATCAACACAGATTGCTTGAAATAAAGTATTTTAACTGAATTTTGATAGACATCTGCTAACCTTTTTCACTACAAAACTATTATTACAATGTAGTTTTATAAGACAGTCTTCAACCTAGTTGTGGTCCTACAGGTGTTAAAACTACATTCTCAGAATGTTATCTGAGGATGCTGAATTTTATTCCCAGCTCTTCTAGAATGTGCGGAAGATGGGGAAACCTCTTGTAGAATGCTTTGCACGTAGAACTCATTCTTGTAGTTTATTTTTTGTTGTATGTTTCTGAAACACTAATTTACACAGTTTTTAAAAAGAAAATGATTGAACAGTTACTCAGTTTATAAGACCTCAAATAACATTTGGTTGTCTAATTTCACCCCTTTAAGAAAGCGCTTGATATCTTTCTCCATATGGGACCAGAGACCATGCCATTGTTATCATTTCTGGGACTATTATTGCTCTGCCTCGGCTGAAGCAAATGGTGAATGGCTCCCCAAAGAGCAAAAAGCAGTCTCCCTGTGTAATGGGCTGAATTAGTATGTTACTTTTTGGTACCATAGAACAGATGACTTCAGATGGTGGGCCCTCTGTGGCCTATAGGCAAGAGGCTCATGACTTCTATCTTAAGACAGTGTTTATAGCTGAAGAAAAACTGAATATGTCTCTCAGAGATACTTCCAGGGATGAGAAAAAGGATTATATATATTCCAGTTTTCCTAATATTGACCTGTAGTATCTTAGATTTTTATAATATCATATTCAGATACATTGTAGCTGCTATCAATAAGATATGCTATCAGATATGCTATCATATATCTATGATATATGATGTCTGACTAGTTAATGTGATTTATTCTTTGACTTGATTTGAGGTAGCATCACCAGGTTGCACAACAATCATGCATGTCAATAATGGGGAACAATGATCAAAATGACCACAAGATGGAAAATTAGATTTGATTCAATGGAAAGATATTCTGGGAAAAGAAGCTCTAATTATGCTCATTAAAATGTTATAAGTTGCTCCTTGAAAGATATATCCAGAATTGTTCATTGTGTGCTTCATGTAATAAGAACCAGCTTGAGGAGGTCATTTTTGGCATTTATACATCTAAAGGTTTAAGAGGCAATAGAGGCAATATTAAATATAAATATGCACCATTTTGTGATATTAAATTCCATCTGGTAATTTGTTTAGCAATGTTTCATTTGTTGATGAAATAAGTTCAGAAACAAAAAGTTTCTTAAAATTATTAAATTAATTCTTATTTTTAAAATTAAAGTTACTAAGCCTAGATGATTTATTATGTGTCATTAAGTTGGTGTAAATTCCTAAGAATCAGATAAATTTTTCTCCATGATGAACTGTCCCTAACAGAGTCATGCAAGATTTCCAATCATGCATTTAATGCTATTGTAACTAAGACAACTCAACTTACAGCTTGTCATCTTTTTCTTCTCTTTTCTTCCACCTTTGCAGCATCCTTCTGCAGAGTGCTAGGTCTTCACGTAATCTGAAGAAGCATAAATTGACCCTGGTCATTTGTGCTTTGAATGAGAAATTAGGGTGAATTGTTTGTTGACCCATTTGTATGTTTTTTTGACTGCCTCGGAAGTCTTTTTCAACAGATAGCTATAGGTATTTTTAAAAATTAAGGTTACTTATTGCCTACAACTAGAAAGATCCATATCTTGAATATCTAGAGCATGGATGTCAAATTCGATTGGGTCACCTGTCATATCATGACATATCATGTTTATTGCCTTTGCGGAGCCAGGATGGGTGTGGCTTGTGCATGACACATCTGGCCTGCGGGCTGTCACTTTGACAGGCCTGATCTAGAGGGAAATTACTCCTAATTTTAATGGAAGATCGGTGATAGTATTTTACTACTTCTGTTTGTTGGAAATCAACAAAGAGCTCTTCTGGTCTCATTAAAACTAATAAATTTTGGAGAAATTTATCTTTAAGGAATTAGATGTATTTAATAAGATATAGAATTATTTGGCATATATCTTGGCAGTTGATAATGTGTTGATAAAGAGAAAAATGTTATGCAAATAATAGACCGAAAGAAATGCGAAGGATAGTAGAATGATCACAAGAGCATAAGATGTTGAAAAAACTTTATTTTTGCTTTGTAATAATGGGTATGATAGGCAAAATGACTCAAAATGCCATTTCTATAAATCCCCATTAGCAAACAATTGTACAGTATAATCTTTTCTGTTTGGAGGATTAATTACAGTTGTATTAGATTATTTTCTGAAATATGTCTCTAATGTCCTTTTACACATAACACATAACATCATTTATTTTCCACCGTGTATGTATGAATATAAACTGCTACTTTACAGTAAAAATAAATGCAGTATTTTTGCATTCTTATTTTCATGGATTCTAAATTACATAACCAGGCAGAATAATGGCATTCCTTGTTTACAAACATAATAGTATATTAAAAGTTTTTAAAATTATTATTTATAGGAACCTGCCTCATCAGACTCAGATTCCTCAGCAGCAAACAGAAGGTAATTTTTATTTATTTATTAAATAAAAATAAATGAGCTAGATTATAAAGGAATGAAATTTATACAAAATGGAAATTTTATGGAGTCATACAAAATACTATGTTCCAGAAGTTCTGACAATCTGATATCAGACTAACTGTCGTTCATATTAAACAAAATTTGGAAAGAGTTGTTTCTTCCTAGTTTGGTTAAACGAAACACAAAAATGGTTTGGATGCTCTATTTCTAGAAAATAATGGGATTCAGAACAAGTCTCATGTTTTCTACTGATCTGTTGAATAACCAGTTCTAGGAGCCATCTAGGTTATTGTAGTTCACAGCGACAATAAGAACAGTAATAGCAAAACTCAACATGGATGATATATTGTTGAGTTTAGCTGTGAATATCCTTTTGTTGATTGTGGAAGTTCCAAAATATCTTTAAAGGGGAAATATATATTCAAAGACTCTAGAAATTCAACCCCAAGAGGAACTAAAATGCATGTACATTGAATCACCTAAGTTGCAGGTTAACCAAAACAATCAGTGCTGGTACTTTTTGTATATTCATGTCTTGCCTGTGAACAGTAATACATATGCATGAACACAGACCTTTAATTCAATTTCAACATTACATCAGCTTATCATTTGAAAACCATAGGACATTAATTCACTAACTTGGAGTCCAATTTTCATGCATGAATCTATACAAGAAACAGCAGTAGCATATATTCTGGGAAACCGAAGCAAAGTATGATAGAAAAAACAATCCACTTTTTTCTTCAGCCTGGACCAGTGGTCTGCTGCTGTCAAGAGCATCATCCTTTTGAAAAGAAACCCCAGACTAGTCTAGTCAAGATCCCTTGTAGCAATTTCTTCTTTTGTTGCTCACCCTTTAGTCACCATCTGTTTAAGGATAGTTAAATCCAGAATGACTCCCTTGCTGTACCATGCACTCTGTAATGCCTGTTGATATTAACCAAAGCTCCAGCCAGATCACCTCACTCACCATCCAACTTAAACCAGGATAGAGACAAAACTATTCCCCCTTCTTCTGTTAGTCCAAACTGAAGCATTCAAGATATAACAGTTTAACACCCAAAAGACAGACAGCAAATCTAACTATATAACTGGAACAGAAGAGAACACTAAAAAGTTGTTGTAGACTACTATAACATTTTGGACTGCATCCAGATTCAACCAGTCCTGCCCTGGATTCTGTCTGCAACAGAAGTACATGTTTCAGTTAACCAACACAGAATCCAAAATGGGCTATTAATTGCATGAATACATTATGCAAGAGATTTTGCAGATCCTTATTACTGTATTGCAATCTTTTTTTCTTTAATTGCATAGTTCTTGGACCATCGCTCACAGAGCAGAGTGAGAAGAGATGGAGAGATTTGCATTACTGTTAATTATCAAAATGCATTTAAATGCAGTTATGTTGGCATAGATAGAATTGTGGGTTGTTTCTAATTTCTGTCTAAAAATTGCAGGCAGGCAAACAGGCAAATAAAGTAAACTTTGAGCTATGCAGACCACAAGGAAAATGTTTTATTTTGAATCTGGAGGTTCATCTAAACCATTTCAGGTCAGGTATGACTTGGCAAAGCCAAAACCCAGAACACTTGATTTTTCAAGTATTTGGACAAAATAAAATCCAGATGGGTCTAATATTTGTGCAAATCACCTCATCTTTTGTCTCTGCATGTCCCAGTTGTCATATTCCATTCATCAACTCTTGTTCTTTCTTGTCTGAGAGGCTGCCAATGTCTCACCAACCTCCATCCCACTAGCACCCTCACTCCTTTCAGCTGTACAGCATGTCCCAGTATGGCATATTCCATCAGCTCGCTCCTTCTTTCTTCATCTTCTGAATGCTTTCCCTTTTTTCCCTCCCCGCATCTTATGAGCTATTATGGGATTTCTATTGGCTCTTCCCCTGGAACAAAACAGCTCTATTTCATCCTACGCGTGAAGGAAAAATCCCAATTTCAGTCTGGGAAAGCTACCTGAATCCAGCTGTGTTTCTTAAGTAAAGGATTTTTTTCCATTTTGCACATGCTTCATAAATGGAAAAAACTAGATAGGTTCATTTAAAAGAAGAAATTGAGAGCACCCTTTTAAAAAGTAATTTATGCTAAGCTTTTATGCAGTATAATCCATTTCATGCAGCCTATGTGCTTGGTAGCTGTCAGTGTTGGATACTTCATACAGCTGATATATATGAGATAAGCCTAAAAATCTATACTACTGTAAAGCGTTCATCAGTCTTCAAGGTGCCACACACTAGTTTTTGCTGTAAAAATTTTTTAAGGCCATCTCTCTGGAAAATTATGACAGGAATTCATTTAAGTGGGAGATCTGTATTCAATTTACTTGTTACTTTTATTGCTGCTTTCGGGGATTAAAGGAGAATTTCGCATGACAACATTTCAAAGATTGGAGGCAAGTATTACATTAGTATTGCTTTTTTTCTATCTGGTGAAAAACAATGATAAAAGAAGAATCTAAGCTCTCCTTTATTGCTAATCCAGTTTCCAGCAATTGCAGGCAGCATAAGAGGTGCTGGGAGTCATAGTTCAAGAACACCTGAAGAACTACAAATTCTGTCCTCCAGTTTATTTTGTCACTGTTTTAACTTTATGCAGAACAAGTTCAATATATAAGTATCTTTTAAATCTGGTCTAGATTCATCAGAATTATCCTATAATTTAAAACTATATTAACTTCTGAAATCTAATACACTTATGAATTGTCATTTCCAGGTAAATGGTATCCCTGAGGAAAGAAAATTTACAGAAGCAATTAATTTGTAATTAAATCAAACTCCAATACAAGATTTCATTTCCTTATTTGCTCTATTGACACATGAATGTTTCTAATGCATGCCTAAGAGAAAATTCTGATGTCAAATATCATTTCCATATTGTTACATGTACTGTATCTTTTTATACTGGATATTTTCAACAAATTTGTAAAATACTAATTTTCGTATTAGTTAATTAAAACATTTATACAGTACTCAGCTATTATTTCAACTAGATAATTGTTAAAGTATTCTTCTTTTATACTATGTTAACGATGTCCAGTATTCATGTTAAGGTTTTGTTTTGTTTGAAAACTAAAAGGTGAAGTTAAAGCATGTTGCATTTTAATTTAATGCAGTCATTTTGCAGGACGTTTTTAACTAGCATAATTCTTTTTCTGCCATGTTTCGTATATGGAAATTGTTAAATCAGAAAGTTACCAATACTAGATATTGCTAATTAAGAATATATTCTATTCTTAGCACTAATCTTGATTTCCTCTGTACTATTATTCCATACTGTATTTTTAGAATGAAAATGCATTTAGCATTATTTTTCATTACTCCAGCTACATCTAGTTTTAATAAAGTTTTTAAATTGCAATTTGCTAAATATTTCTAATTCCTAATGACCTCTCCCCAAGTGAAAAAATATTAGTCTTCAGTTGCATATTCTAAATAAATTGAACCAATATTCTGACTATTGAACAAATTTTGTCCAATAAGATACTGATGGTGCTGCCCGAGCACCTATTCTCTCATCCACACAAAACAATGAAGTCCCACTTTAAACCTTATGACATCTTACGAACTCTTTTTGCATAATGCACAGAACTTGCCTTACTGTCGTGTAGTTTCTTCATCAAATTTTAGAGATATTCTTTCATATTCAATTGTTCCAATTTCCAAATATTAACTGAATAGGCATCTAATTGCTAAACAAATTTGATCTGCTGAGTAAAGGATTCTGGAATAGTTGAATTATTATTCCAAAAATTACTGGTGAATGGTGAGAGAACTCTCTTGCATTCCTTGAGAATGCAGTGATGAAAAAGTGTTGTTGAAAATTTGCAAATAGAAGGGAGACGCAAATAATAAAATGAAGGAAAATACCCCTGCTGATTTACAAAAGATGGATCAAGAAATGAAGATCCACAACTGATATATACACTGTTATTTATTTAATTTAATTATTAAATTTGTTTGCGACACATCTCACTGCAATATGTTCTGGATTTTTTAACATTTTTACAATGTTAAAAAAATAATACAAAAAACATGAATATAATAAAGCACTATAAAAATTCAAATTATCAACTATAACTAAAAGATGGAGGGAGTAGGATGAGCAAAGGGCATTGGTGGGGTCTGTTAATCTATCAATCACATCCCACATGATAGTCCTCCATTGCAATCCCCTGGGGAAACTGGCAGTCAGTTTTCAAGATCTTGGCATCCCAGAATGCCTGAAGATTCCTATTCCTTTAACCAGGCAATTGACCTCAACATACTGACTTGGCAGCTATTTTAGCCATCATCCTGTGACGAGTTTTACTACGGATTATTTTATTGTTAACAACCACACAAAACTGACCAATGGAGACATCATAAAATTTGTGATGATAAAACTACTATTCACTCTGTCTTATGATCTGGGCAAGTTGCCTGAAGATTTGTTGAAGAATGTGAAAAATCCTTTATTCTTTGTTAAAGAAGGGTTTAGATTCTAAAACAGTTATCAGTGGGTGAAAGCAGAGCTATTTTTCCAAGTTGCTGTAGGAATGTAGCTTAATTACATAAAACTTTTAAATAGCCATTTAATTTTTCAACCAAATTTAAGCAAAAAAGTTTTGCACAATTTGTGTTTGTATAACACTTTGCACAATCACCATTCTTACTCCTATAGCTATGAGAAAAAAAACAAAGGATAATTGAAACATTGTAGCAAAACAGTTTTTTTTTCTCTACCTAATTTTTCTACGAAGGGATTGTAATTCAAGGTCATTTTCCTTTTCCACGAATCTGAGACAGAATTTTAAATGATCCACAGCAAAATGACTATTAGGTCCTATTTTTTTACTGGAGCCTTTTATGAAAGGATCTATTTTTAACAATATTTTTGCAATATTTTATATAAGAATTGTACAAGTAATATTGTAGTGTTTTCATGTATTTTATGTCAGATGATAAGCCAGAGATGTTTAAAAGACTTCAGAAAGTTTTTTTTTTTAAAAAAGACACATATACACATAACACTCTTTACTTAATTGATGCTCCTTTAGTACAAAAATAAGCACACCACATTTATTTAAACCTTAAATTACTTCATATTTTTCACATAACTTTGAAATATATTCTTTAAAAAATATATAGCAAACAAGTGCAATATTTCAAACTTAAAAAATAATCTTTAACCAAACCTGTACAACAGATAAATAAAATATCTATATACTCAGATTATAACAACAAAACACTTCCATCCTAACAAAAATTCTCACTGAATCTCATTTGTACATTCAACTCCTGACTTGCCAGCCTATCCATGTTAAACAAAACGGAAGGGAAAAAATGCAAATAATTAATGGTAAAACAGAACTTTTCACACCTTATGAAATAAATGAACACAGGACTTAGACAAGAAGCTAATGTAACAAACATTTAACAATTTGAAACCTATTTTTCCCATTATTATTTAGTGGGATTTCCTCTTCTTTCCCATTGTTTAGTATAATCTATTACAATGGGAATTACAAGTTTCTAATTCCATACATCAAAACACATTAATAAATAAAAAGCCCTATAATTGTACATATGCATAGAAAACAATACTGTCTATTCATTCTTCAAGTGCTAAAACTGGATGCAACATGCAGACATATTAGGGACATGTTGCAACTGATATCAAAGCTAAGTCCCCAATTAACATACCATAAACATACCTCCCAAGGTGTCACTTTACCGCCCCCCCCCCCCACAAAAGATTGACAGTTCTTTGTTCAGCAACTTTTCCCAAGCACCTCAAAATGCTTTTTAGTTTTCAATGCAAAATAAATTATGTAGATTACACACACTATTTCACCACAAGTCTCTGGTTCCCAAACTTAGTGCTGAAACTGATATTGATAGAAAGCCAATGGGGTATAGGTTTTAAAAATTCTGAATGAAATTTTAATGTGAATATGCATCTTAGAATCTACATATTCCATACAAATGTTAGTATACTGGATAATACTTATATTTTGACTACAAATTGCCCAGGAATACACTCCAAATTGCCAGAATTAAAATATTAGAATTGGCATATTCCACTTAAATTTTTCAAATTAAGTCAAATTTCCTTCAAATTCAATTACTGTATATTTAACATCTGTATAGCATGCTTGTGAATAGGAACAGAAATACTACTGAGGATGTAACTAATTATTAATGGAATTTGAAGGGCATATGCAAACCATAAGCATTTTATATTTTAAAACTTTGTAATATTATTCCTGAACTACCTATTTTGCATGGGATTGTGCATGATCAATTTCAAAAAGAAACTGAAACCGCTTTATAGCCCTTTTAAAACAGTGATTGGTAAAATAGCTTTGAAATTCCTATATTTGAGGAGGTAATTTTTTTGTCCTTCTCATGCAGTCCATGCAAATTCTGAAAAAAAAAAAAACTTTCTCCCAAGTCAAAAAGTAATTCTTACAGAAATCACAGAGCAATCACAGCTAAATGCCCAACTTCTTTGTAGAAGTGTGTCAGATAATAACTTCTCTGGTTCCAATAAAATTATTTTCATGAAAAGAAGAAAAACTAACTCAATGGTATACCAGAAAGGAGAATTCAGAAGAAAATCACAGGAAATATTAAATTTCCAATTAACGTTTGAAATTAAAGAGACTTGAAAATACTGATTAAAAATAAATAGTGAAAGAAAAATAAGACTGCTCAAAATATTCAAAGTATGAATATTCAAAATATTCAATGTCAATTATTAAACTCAGAGAAATTGCTGAAGATCTACTGAACTGAAATGCAGTTTGTAAACATTAAGATTATATTTCAGTGTCTTTTTATCCCTCAGTTCTTAAGAAGTTCCCCAGAAATAATACATGTACCCAGAAATTTAAAATAAATCACTACAGACATTTTGTTCCCAGATTCTATGCAGTACTGTTGAAGCCTAATAGTCTTCAATGATTTCTCTATGTGGTTCCAGGAATTCAAAATGCTATCAAGAGGTGGGTTATGTAATTTGTTGCAGCATAAGCAGTTTTTGCTTTTCCATGCAGTGGATGTAAATAATTATTAATCATTTTAAGAAATGCTTCCAGAAAAAGTCTTAAATGCCTCTAGCTGAGCTGATTTTGCTCGATTGTTACATTAATTTTAGAAAGGTTTGTAAACAGAATAATCATCCAGCAGAAAAATCAATTTTTTCTCCCCGTACAGTTGTATATAATGCACTCCTATTTTCTTGAACGGCTGTTATCCTTAGGCAACATATACATGTTTAGTGTACTTCTTAAGTTTCTTTTTCTTGTGCTCCTCAGGAACAGGAGCAAAATTGAGGGAGTATGTAATTCCTGCTGATTATCATTTGATTCAGGAGGTATAAAATGAAGCTAAAGCAATGACTGAAGGATTTTGTAGAAGTTAACATCTTCACTGTTTTTGAAAAGATGATAAAAAGAGAAATCCGGAGAAAAACACACATGCCCATATTAACCTTTTCAGCAGCATTACATTATCTTTTGGAACAACAATCTGTGCAAGATCATTTGTAATCTGGGAAATTTCATGAGCCACACAGACAAATATAAAAGTGCTGACAATAATATTGAGCATGGGGGTTCCTGGAATAAGGACCAAGATTCCCTTTGTATCTGCTGCTAGCCAGATGTGATACTGACAGATGAAGAGCTGGAAAGAAAATATAACAATTAGAACTATGTGATACCGTAAGACATTTGAACACATGGATTGTTACCACATATTCTAAGCTTAGTGGAAAGATTATGTCTACAACAGTAATGCACCATCTCTACCCCACCAACTGATGAAAAAGCAAACTCCCTCTAGTAAGGGTTGGTGACTTTTATTCAAATGGGAATCCAAGTTGCTTTCTTTATCCACAATGAATATCAAATCTGAATTCTTTTGTACAAATGGGTAAAAATCACAATTAATTTTACCACTGCATGGTGGTGCAGTACTTAAGAGTGCAGTATTACAGGCTAACTCTGCTGATTGCCAGACGTTCGATCTTGATCAGCTCAAGATTGACTCAGCCTTCCATCTTTCCGAGGTTGGTAAAATGAGGACCCAGACTATTGGGGCCAATATGCTGACTCTAAATCTCTTAGAGAGAGCTATGAAGCACTGTGAAGCAATATAAGTGCTATTGCTTTTGCTATATATTAGTTGTATCAAGGCAACCCAATAACGTTCTCTTCTTCTATTTTTCCCCACATAAATCATGTGGTGACGTTTGTTGCAATGACAGAATGAAACATCAGCCAAGTCATTCGGGAGGCTTGGATGCCCAAGAGTAGATTTTAATATAAGTTTCCTAGTGGTACTCATGTTAAACTGCTACAAGACACTCTTTTCAAAACTGTCCATATTTGTGTAATTGTCCATGTGGGTCACAAGGCTTCATTTTTACAAAAAAAATATCAGGGGTCAAAACTATGGGATGAGAGGCGAGGTAAAACATAATTTTCATTTAACTCTAACTTTACTTCATTTTGCATCACATTAAAAATTACAATCCATGAGTAGTAACATATTTTTTGCTCCGTAAGATTTACTTTTTGTCTCCCCAAAGTGGGTGAAAATATCTGTGCGTCTTATGGAATGAATATTGCTGAAACCTCACCCATCCATCAGCCCCACTCTTTGGCCATTTTTGGCCTCACGCCCCATTTTCAGCTTCTGCACGCCCCTTTTTGGCCTCTGTGCCTGTCTGCTGCCTCCTCCTGGCTATTGCTGCTGCCTATCGGCAGTTGGATCAGCCTCCCATAATACAGATCAACTGTTCCAGGCGGCGGGAATCAATAGGCGGTGGGGCCAACAGGTAGCAGCGATCCCTGCCATTTGGAAGAGCTGATCGGCTGTATTCTGGGAGGTTGATAGGCAGTGGTGGCAATAGCTGGGTAACACTGGCGAAGGCTCCAGTGTTCCCTGGAGGAGGCAGCAGACACAGAGGAGGCAGCAATAGTGCCATTTCTGGTTGGACAGCCCACTGATTGGCTGGAATATGGAAGGCCGGGATCCAACTGTCACTTAGCTGACCAGTGGTGGTAGAATGGAGCAGAGCCCTGACAAGCCACATGCTGGGGCTGAGTGGCAGAGGCAGATTTTTTGTTTTCTTGTTTTCCTCCCCAAAAGCTAGGTGCGTCTTATGTTCTGGAGCCTCTTATAGAGCAAAAAATACAGAATTTTAAAGATTTTGGAGGGCTCATATGCTTGCTATATGATGCTATATTAATGAATTCTTATTACACTCACTTTAGAAATTTCAGTTTTAAAACTAGAACTGTGATGCTACTTGCCTCAAGAGAAATTCTGCCAAACCATGCAAAAAATGAACTGTATACTGAACGAGCATAGCCAGGTATATTCCTAATTAGGATGAAAGCTAAAATCTGAAAGACAAAAACCAAGTACCATATAAAAATATAGTCTGTTTATGCTATGCAGTTAGGTTACACAACCTATGGCCATGGTGGCAAAGCTATGGCACGCGTGCCGGAAGTGACACGCAGAGCCATTACTGCTGGCAAGCGAGCTCTTGCCCAGAAAAGGTCTACTGTGCATCCGTGCGCACCGCCTGCCAGCTGATTGCACAGATGCACATGGCATGTGTGTGGGAGATCGTGCACGCATATGCAGAAGCACATAGTGCAGATTGCATGGGTTGCGCACGCATGTGCAGGAAGCGTGGGGGGTCCCTGCGTGCATTGCCTTCTGAGTGATGGCACGCAAGCATGAGCAGACAAGCGTGCGTGCAATTATCAGCATGGGAGCCCAAAAAGGCTAGCCACCACTGACCTATGGTATAAGAAATTCAAATTCTGTTAACGTGAAAATTATCAAGGAATAACCAAAAAGCTAAATTTTATCATATAAAAAATGACAACCTACACTTGAATAACTTTACAAATACTTCCTCAAAAATGAAGATCTATTAGTCATAAGTTGAGTTACAACAAATTGCTGACCTAAGTTTAGGCCATAGTGAATTCAGCACACAGTGAGCAATTCCTGCTCCAAGGGTCGCATATATTACTAAGTATTAAAGGATTGCAAGTGTCTATATGTATATGCATGGTTGTCATGCAATAGTAGAGTGCAAACAATAGTTTGTTGAGGCTTTCATATGATGCAAAAAAGAAATTTGGAACAAAGATTTACTAGAGATGCTGAAGAATCCTATTCCAATGTCTACCAGGCTTAATTTGAGAGAGAAAAAAAAGTCTTAAATCCAAAATATTTTTCTGTACAGTTGTGAGGAGACTGAACACTGGGATATGCACTTTTTCATTTTACTCCCAAAATATTTAATTTAGCCCCTGGAATGGATGTGATTTGTGCTTTTCCAAAAGTACATTCATCACAGATGGTATTCCAAAAGATTATTTTGCAGGGCAATATGAAGAATGTCAAAAATGCTCATACTGACATACTCTTAGGAATAAATATAAAATTTCATGAGAAAACACTGAATATTCCACTGCTAAAATACCCCATTTTTTACATCTCTGATTAGAAATATTTCAGTGGTAGAATCCATAATTTATGTCTAATGAAAGTAAAATTAACCAGGAATGTCTGTTATAAAATGTACAACAGCTGTATACTCCACTGAAGTGGTACCCAACCTTTCTGGCTCCACAGCAGCGGCGGTGGTGGTGGATAGGCAGGTTTTACACATGCAACCTAGCTCCTGTGAACGCACAAAT